TTTTGGTTTTCTGACTCCAGATCTTTGCACATTTTGTTGTAATACTTGACTTTGTCTTCTCGAGCTGACCTTTGAAATTTTCTGTTCAGCTCTTGTACCTCCTCATTTCTTCCATTTGCTTTAGCATCTCTATGCTGGAAAGCAAATTTCAGTGTCTCTTCTGACATCCATTTTGATTTTTTCCTTCTTTCTTATCTTCTTAATGACTTTTTGCTTTCTGCCTGTATGATGTTCTTGATGTCATCCCACAATTCTTCTGGTCTTCCGTCTTCAGTGTTTAATATAGCAAATCTATTCTTCAGATGATCTCTAAATTCAGGTGGGATCTATTCAAGGTCATATTTTGGTTCTCTTGGACTTGTTTTCATTTTTTTCAGCTTCAGTTTGAATTTGCATATGAACAATTGATGGTCTGTTCCACAGTCTGCCCCTGGCCTTGTTTTGACAGATAACATTGAGCTTTTCCATTGTGTCTTTCCACAGATGTAGTCAATTTGATTTCTGTGTATTCCATCTGGTGAGGTCTATGTGTATACTCATATCTTATGCTGTCTAAAGAAGGTATTTGAAATGAACACATCATTAATTATGCAGAATTCTATCATGTGACCTCCAGCATCATTTCTATCACCAAGGCCATATTTTCCAACTACTGATCCTTCCTCTTTGTTCCCAACCTTTGCATTCCAATCACCAGTAATGATCAATACATCTTGATTGTATGTTTGATCAATTTTACATTGAAAAAATTGGTAGAATTATTCTATTTCATCCTCACTGGCTTTAGTGGTTGGTGCGTAAATTTGAAAAATAGTGGTATTAACTGGGCTTCCCTGTAGGTGCATGGATATTATCCTATCACAGACTGCATTGTACCTCATGACTGATCTGGATATGTTCTTTTTGACAGTGAGTGCAACACCATTCCTCTTCAATTTGTCATTCCCGGCATAGTAAACCATGTGGTTGTCAGATTCAAAATGGCCAATATCAGTCCATTTCAGCTCACTAATGCCTAAGATATCGATGTATATGCGTTCCATTTTATTTTTGACAACTTCCAATTTTTCTTCATACTTCATACATTCTGTGTTCTGATTATTAATGGATATTCACATCTGTTTCTCTTCATTTTGAGTTGTGTCCCATCAGCAAATGAAGGTCCCGTGGGCTTTACTCCCAGGGGCTTTACTCCATTCGCATCATCAGGGTCAACTCTACTTTGAGGAGGCAGCTCCTCCCCAGTCGCATTTTGAGTGCCTTCCGGCACAGTACCTGATAGTGTCTCTCTGCTATTCATAAGGTTTTCAATGACTAAATATTCAGAAGTAGTTTGTCACTTCTTCCTAGTCTGTCTTCCTCTGGAAGCTCATCTGAAACCTGTCCACCATGGGTAACTCTTCTGGTACTTAAAATACCAATGGCATAGCTTCCAGAATCACAGCAACTCACAAGCCACCACAGTACAACAAACTGACAGACGTGTGATGAACACCAGGTCTTGGAGGGTTTAAAAATGGCATTTGGCTGCATCTGACCCGCCTCTGACTTCACAAGGGGGAAGGAGAATCAAATTCAACATCAGCCCCAGGCCGAATCTTCAGAGGCAAAGGTGAGACATGCCTCCACCCTACAACCTTCTTTACCAACTCTGACACGCCCATTCCTCCCACAGCATTACTTCTAGCTGGGCCCCATCATTTATTGCAGTGGCCACACAGAACTCACAGAGCATACCTATGATTATAGGCTTTAATGGGTTATGATTCAGGATCAGATATGCTCAGGATATCTGTTGGTTAGAACAGCTTCTTCTCAGTGGTGCCCGCTGGCATGCCTCTCTGGTCCTCTCAGCCATGTGACCCCTTGTCTTCTGCCCTGCTCAGGCAAGTGCTACAAAGCTCTGTTGTTGTTGTTGTTGTTAAGTGCCATCGAGTCGGTTCCGACCCATAGCGACCCTGTACAGGGTTTCCGAGGGTGTAAATCTTTACGAGAGTAGAAAACCTCATCTTTCTCCCGCAGAGCGGCTGGTAGTTTCGAACCGCGGACCTTAAGGTTCACAGCCCGATTCGTAACCACTACGCTACCAGAGCTCCTTACAAAGCTCTGTTAGCTCTGCTGATAAACAGCCCAAAGGCACTGCATTCCGCTAATAGGCCTCAGCCGGAAGGCGCTCAGCTATAGCTCCCCAGACAAATGGCCGGGAAGGCACCCCCTCAGCCAGCAAGCCTCCTGCCTGAAGGCACTCAGCCTTCTCTGTCCAGGGAGCACTGTTTCATCTAGTGCTTTTACTTCTGCTGATTTGTATGGTTTCCAACTCACATGGGTGCCATGAACCTTATTTACATTATCAGCAAGCTATCCAATCACCTTGGTAGACCCAGATACCTCATTTGCATAATCCCACTTAGTCGTTTCATAGGTGATACTCCTGGAGTCGGAACCAAAACCGACTCCACGGTACTTAACAACAACAACCCCTGGTGTGGTGCTGTAGGATAACCACTGGATCACAAAGTCGGTTTGAACCAAAACGTCATCAGTTCAAACCTACCTATACTGGGTCCCTATGAGTTGCTGGGCACTTAACAACAACAAGCAAAGACTATGGCTACAAGAGCCACCTCAGGTAATGCAGTGCATTACAGAAGGTGACAGATGGTTGAGCAAAGCACCTGAAACAGGGGAGGAAGGCTGGGAGTCCTACCAATACCTGGGGGAAGAATGTTCCACAGCCTGAGGTCTTGTTTGATTCTCAGCCAGGACTGTGAGGGGGAGAGGGAAGTTTAGAGGTGATGGGGTCAGGTCTGTGAGTCCTCATGGGTCATAGGGAGGGCTTTATATTTCCCTCTGAACGAGCTGAGGCCATTGGAAAATTGTGGCTGAGGTGATCACGGAGTCCTACTGGCTGTCTGTGGAATCAGACAAAGGACAAGGTGGGAGCAGGGAGGAGACCCAGTCCCATTCTGCTGTGGCAGACTCTGGTGCGTGCCATGGGGAGTGGGTGCCATAGGTGGGTGGGCACTGGATCGATTTGTAGGCTGAGACAGCAGGATTCACTGCCAGATGGACTGTGAGTCAGCAGGGAGTCAAAGGTGAACTCAAGGCTCTGGGCCTGAGCAGTTGGAAAGATGGAGGTGTCATCACCAGAAATAGGAGGGACCACGGAAGGGGCAGGTTTGGGTGTGAAAGTGGACCTGGGTTTGGGGTATCCACAGACCCCTGAGTGGAGGTACCCAGTGGGCAGAAGGATTTCCCGTCGCTCCTACAGGCTATGGGTATACGACGCCGCTGACCGACGCAGGGAAGGCTTTTGCCGTTGCCTTTGCACTCCTGGGCGTCCCAGCCACCATGCTGCTGCTGACCGCCTCAGTCCAGCGCCTGTCACTGCTTCTGACCCACAAACCCCTGTCCTGGCTGACCCTGCGGAGGGGCTGGGACCCTCGGCAGGCAGCCCGTTGGCACTTGCTGGTCCTGCTGGTGCTTGTGGTGACCGTCTGCTTCCTGGTGCCGGCCGCAGTCTTCATCCACCTTGAAGAGGCCTGGAGCTTCCTGGATGCCCTATACTTCTGTTTCATCTCCCTGTCCACCATCGGCCTGGGGGACTACGTGCCTGGAGAGACCCCCGGCCAGCCCTACCAGGCCCTCTACAAGGTACTGGTCACAGGTGAGTCTGGGCTGGTTGGCTAGTCTTGCCTGCCAGGGTCTGAGGGGGTCGTGGCCTGGCCCAGGAGGATGCTGAGGGGACACCGTTCTATCCTGGAAGGCCATGTCTCACCATCACCCCTCTGCCCTCTCGGCAGTCTACCTCTTCCTGGGACTGGTTGCCATGGTGCTAGTGCTGCAGACTTTCCGTCACTTGTCCGACCTCCACGGCCTCACACAGCTCATCCTGATCCCCACGCCATGCCCTGCCAGTGAGGATGAGGAGGACCAGGTGGACATTCTGGACTCTTCACCAGAGCCACGGCAGCAGCTCAATGCCGGCTCCCATGCCAACTATGCCTCCATCTCCAGGTAGCTGGGGCAGGTGCCCCATGGCTGGATTGAAGCTGACTACACAAGACTCTCCATGTGTATGTCCAGGTGTTTGTGAGACATCTGAACCAACTGCCTGTCCTTCATTTACAGCCCCGGGCTGGACATGAGGGGTAGATGTACCCACTGAGTACTCAGTATTGCCTTGTTCTCCCCCTTCCCTCTCTCACTTTCTGGAACACTCTAGACCTCTTTGGCTTTCTGTCTTTCTTCCTGTCTCTGTCCTTCCTTCACACTCTCTGTTTCTCACTCCCTTACACACTCCATCTGTCATTCAACCACTCATCAACAGCCAATCCTACCAGGCAGTAGTAGGATCAGACCTCATTCGGGGCCTTGGGGAAGTGCTTATCTCTCCCTGAACCTTGATTTCCTTAACTGCCAAATGGGAAGAATCTATTCATTCAGAAAGCTGTGCTCGGGACACTGGTGGTGGAGATGGCTCTGGGCTCTCCTTTCATGCGGAACACAGTCCAACGAGGTAGGCAGATCTGTCCCCCAGACAGTGACAGCCCAGAATGATCAGGGCTTGAAGCACAGAGAGGTGTCAGAGCTGGGGTGAAGGAAGCCCAGGAAATGTGCATAACCTATCCTGAGGGGCTACCTAGGAGAAAGTACAGCAGAATGGAGACCTGGAATAAGAGGGGGAAAAGCTGTACCTGACATCACCTTTTACATGTGTCGTGAGTGAACTAGAACCTGTGTAGAGAGCCCTGGGGTAGACATGGGTTGACAGACTTTTATCAGCCTGGCAGACAGAAAACAGAAAGGAGCTTAGCCCAGTTCCCAGTAGTGTGGAAGATGCTGCACGTAGCCACAACACCATCATAACAACAATCCCCTTCTACTGAGCACTAATTGCATCTCATGCACTGGGCTCTGGTGCCAGCCTGCCTGGGTTCTAATCTCCAGTCCTTGGGCAAGTTAGTTATTTCACCGCTCTGATACTCAGTTCCCTCATCTTTAAAATGGTGATACTAATGGTGTCAACAACAAAAGAAGATTTAACAGCGTCTGATGTGTTACTCTGCAATGCCTGGCCCTGTTCTGAGGACTGTCCATTTGATGGACATACTATTACCATCCCCTTCCCAAAGATGAAGAGACTGAGGCTTGGGGAGAGAAAAGGTCCCTTGTCCCAGTTACAGAGCTAGGAAGCAATTGACCATACCACCAATATTTGCTCCATTACAAAATGAACGGTATAGGAGTCCTGCTGTGGCCCTGTAGGATAAGCACTGGACTGCTAACTGAAAGGTTGGCAGTTCAAACCCACCAGCTGCTCATAGGAAACCCTGTACAGGGTCCCTATAAGTCAGAACCAACTCAACGACACTTAACAACAAAAGGATGGTACATCCATAGTAGTCCTCACTGCCAAGAACTCTGGACCAAGTGCTGTGGAGATTATAAAAGGGATGGGGTATTTGAGTTGGGTCTTGCTAGGTCAATAGACTGGACAGGTAGAAAAGACACCACTGGGAGGGCATTCTAGGCAGAAGGAAATGTGTGTGGGTAAAGCCGGGAGGTCTGGCTGAGCAAGTAGCTTACTATGATGAGTATGGAGTGAGTGGGGGAAGGCGGGTGGAGAGTTAGACATGGATCTGTCTGATGTGTTAAAACAATGAGCCTGAAAACGTGTCCTGAGGGTACAGAGAGCCATGGAGAGGTTTTGAACAGGAGAGGGTTTATGGTTAAGCATGGACTTTAGAAGATCTTCCTGGTTGCTCTGTGGAGATAAACTAGACAAGAAGACTGGAGCCGGTGCCCAAAGGAGAGGCTGGGGCAGGAACACTGGGGGACAGGACGGGGCAGGGCCATGCAAAGAGGAGGAGAGGGGAGTAAGTTATGCTCAGAAAGCCAAGTGGACAAGCTATGGGCCTTGCAGGCTTTGCAGAGAGCTCAATGTCAGAACAGGGTCCAAGGAATGGCCAGCTGCCCGAGAAACTACATTTAGGGAGTGATGCTGAGGTTAGTTTGAACACGGTGGATATGTGGGACTTAGGGACACCTAGGAGCAGCGGCATCCCGAGGTCACATGGTGGAGGCTGGAGACATGATGCTGAGGCAACTGACACTGAGGGTGGGTGAAGCAGCCCTGGGAGGGGCTGATGAGAAATCAGCCTTGTGTACACACCAGTCGATGCTTACTCATTACGACCCTATAGGATGGTGTAGAACTGCCTCACAGGGTTTCCTACGCTGTCATCTTTACAAGAGCAGCTGGTGGGTTCAAACCACCAACCTATAGGTTGGCAGCCAAACGCTTAACCATTGTGCCTTATTAGGGCTCTTGGAGAAATCAGCTTTAGGGTATTTATATCACATGGGAGGAGATATTTTGGCTGCAAGTAACAAAATCCTGACCTTGACTTACACTGCCTGAACCCACAAGGAGAATGATGCACGTTACAAATCTCTAAGAAGTCCGGTATATGGAGGTCTGGTGTGGTGCTCTAGGAAAGGCTGCAAGGTCGGTGGTTCAAAACCCCAGCCACTTCTCAGAATCCCTATACAGGGTTGCTATGAGCCGTTATCAACTTGATAACAAAGGAAGTCCAGAGTCAGGGAAGGCTCTAGGAATGATCCAATTCACAGTTCTGAGAAGGTCTCATCGCTCCAGATTCCCTTTGTCTCTCTGCTCTGCCACCCTCATTGAAGGCTTGGCTCACTTGGGCCATCCTTGTGACCCCAGAGTGGCTGCTGCAGTTCCAGACATCACAACAAGCTACAATTTCTAACATAAGGAGAGGGGGACATCTCTTCCCATGTGTGTCTGTTTGAAAGCAAGGACATCTTTTCCCAAGGCCACCCAGCTGACTTCTCTCATCTCATGATCAACATTAACTAGCAATTCCATTCCTGAACCAATCATTGGTCTGAGTGATGGGACCACCATATATCGTGTGGCCTGCTCAGGATTCCCCCCAGGGCTGGGGCTGTTTGGAGGATGGTGAATAATTTAATAAAACTGAGTTTCTATTAGAATGGCAGATGACTGAGAGAATGGATGTTGATTCATCATTGGGAATGTTGTATACAATTGTGCATGCTGGGGTCTACATAAGGGACTATGTAGACCTGACTGTTGTTGTTAGGTGCCATCGAGTCAGTACCGACTCATAGCGACCTTATGCACAGCAGAATGAAACAATGCCCGATCCTGGGCCAATCTCACTTGAGTCCATCAATGCTGCCACTTGGCCAATCCATCTCATTAGGGGTCTTCCTCTTTTTCTCTGACCCTCCACCTTACCAAACATGATATCCTTATCCAGTGACTGCTCCCTCCTGACAATATGTCCTGAGTATGAGAGACAAAGTTGGGTCATCTTGGCCTCCAAGGAACACTCCGGCTGCACTTCTTCCAAAATGGATCTATTGATTTTTTTTGGCAGCCCATGGCACTTTCAATAGTCTCCTCCAACACCATAACTCAAAAGCATCAATTCTACGGTCTTCCTTATTCACTGTCCAGCTTTCACATGCATATGAGGTGATTGAAAATACCTGACTAGTGTGAAGTAAAAGGAAGAGGCTCAAGTTCAAGGGTACAGGATGATCCTGGAGGCTTATGAAGAAGTTTTAAGAAAATTGGAAATGGTGAGGAAAGTTGTGCCAAGGATTTTTATTTATGTCAAAGCACCTGCTCATTCTTTGAGGTTAGCAAGGACTGTCCTATGAGAATCATAGTGGTAAACCTTACACCCATCCATCCCATAACCTCATCTTGCCCTTCAGACTTACTTTTGTTCCCCAAACTCAAAAGACTGTGGAGAAGAAACACAATTTGAGTGGCATTGGAGAGATGCAAACACCACACATTCAGAAGTATAAAGATCTAGATGAGGATATGTCAAGAAGCAATAGCCCCATATTTTGATGTTTTGTTTAATAAAGGTGTCTATGATTTTGTAGCAATACTTTTTGACACCCTTGTATAAAGATAAATTGTCATCGTGTTGGTTCTGACTCATAACAGCCCTGTATAAGGTTTTTGAGGAGCGACTGGTGGGTTTGAACTGCCAACCTTGTGGTGAGCAGTCCAGTGTTTATCCTATAGCACCTTTCAAGGAAATGGCTCATGCAGTTGTGAAGGCTGTCAAATCCCAAATCTGTGGGTAAGGCTGCAGGCTGGAGACTTCTGACTCATGATCGCAGGGACTGAAAAGTTCAAAATTTGTCGGACAGGCTGCTGGCTCACAAGGTTGTGGTAGCTAATTCCAAATCTGCAGGTCAGATGGCAGGCTGCTGGCTCAAGTCCCAAGAACTAGAAGTCAGAGAATGATGAAATGAATGTCATCCCACACACCTCAACAACCCTGTGATTTAGGTACATTCTTTATATTTTACAAATGAGGAAAGGAGATCTAGAGAGGGTAGCTAACTTGCTCGCAGTCCCACAAAATGCAAAACTGAGATTAGAACAAGGTTTTGGTTGGTAACTTTGTCTGGTGGGGGTTCAGCAACATCCTTTGTTTTACTCTTTCTCAGTCACATGCCCTTTTTTCCTGCCTTCTTGGCTCCTCACTGAGGTCATTGTCAGCCTCTCTGTTGCTGAAGACTACAGTGGGCTGGGAGGCTGTTTCTTCTTCCCATAGCATACTCAAGGGTGGTGTTTCCACTCCTCACCACTTCCAAATTCTGTTGGGAAAAGAAACCAGGCCCTGTTCAATTCTGAGTGTACAGTGGAAATTAAGTCTTCCTCTCACCCTCAGACTGTTGAGTTCCAGTGTCTTCCAGACATATTTTGTGCATGGATCCTTTTCTTTCTTAATTTGACTTGACCCAAGTGGTACCTGCTACGATGATGTGACTATGATTACAGACTCTGGAGGCAGTGTCCCTGGATATGAATCTGAACTCTTAATACTCCCAAGCCTTGTCGCTTTGGGAAAATTATTTCACCTCTTTGTGCCTCCAGTGGCTAATCTATAAAATAGGATTATAGCAAAATTTACAGACTTGTCAGAAAATTTGCTG